CCACCCAAGCCAGTAATGGCTGTTATGTTTTGTATTATAACACATTAAGGTGAAGCTCCTGCCTAAGAAAGAAATAAATTTAAAAAAATCCCCCAGCTCCTATCCCAGGAATGACAGGCTGATGGGAGAGGATAAAATTGGAAAGTTGGGAGGGGGGAAAGAAAAAATATAATATATTCACAGTTTAGATGACAGTGAATATAAAGACAGACTGAGCTTAAGTGGAAATTGCAAAATATCCCTGGGAAGTTTTATTCCCTCCAGATTGCTGCCAGATATCCTGGAAAGTGTGTGTTTGTAGCAAAACCTTATGGGCTGAGGCAGTGCAAGCATCTCTGTTGCTGTTTAGTTCGTGGAATTGACAGAAAATCTCAATATTTGTCCCTTTTTTGGAGCAGTTTCCTGGCCCTGCTGATCAGGGTGGGTGAGCACAGCTCCAAACCTCCCATGGAACTCAGGGGTGTCACTTTCTTCAGGGCAGGAGGCTTGGTTTGCCTTGAGTTTTGTGAAAAAAATTTGCTTTTTTTAGGCTTTTTTACCCATTTTCTGCGTTGTGGTGGGACATGCTGTGAGCTGGGACCTGCAGGCAGCAAAAACACCTTGAGAGACTTGGAGGAGAATGGATTAAAAAAGCTTTAATTCGCTATTTTCCTTTACTGTCCCTTCACTTTTTGTTCCCAAAATCTCCTTTCATCACTTAGGAAAGAAAATGATTGGGGAAAAAAACTTCTCCAATCCTTCTCCTGCCATGTCCCCTCCAAAAATCTGAATTTTCCTTCCCTAGATCTGCTCATTTTAATGTGAAAAGCAGAAATTCTGGGTCATTAGCACTGATCACCTCATTTTGGGGTCTATTTTAGGATTATTTGTTTGGACTTGCTTCTGTTTCAGATTCTTTGCTGTTCATAGAGAGAGAACGTCTGATATTTTTCTCTCAGAAATAAAAAGTTGGAGGCCAGATTTTGTGGTTAACAGATGCCAACAGAACACTCTGCTCTAAAGAGCCTTTAGATAAATGGGTTTTACTCCAGGTCTGCTAATTAAACAGTCTGGGGACTTCAAGGGCCAGGAAAAAAGGACAAAAGGTGATAAAAACAATGCAGGTGATAATATTTAGGTTTCAGAATGTTCTCCAGTGAGTTAAAAGAGCACCAGGTGTTCTAAACGAGCTCAGATAAAAAATTATGGATAAATGGGAAGCACTGGATAATGAGGGGCAAATTTTTTATTTTTTTTTTTTTTTTTTTTTAGGGTTGAAGCTTTGTTTTAAAGCAATTTTCCTGTCAGGGATTCAAGCAGGCTGGGTGTTTGGATGGGAATATTCCTAGCAGGGATTTCTCTGCCACAACTGGAATTTTTTCCCAGTTTTAGTGAGTTTAGCCCTGCCCTCCCCTCAGCCCAGCTGCTGCAGGTGATTATTGGCAAGGAATGAGGATTTTTGGGGAGTTTTAGCATTTCCCTGGAGCAGAATGTGGGGATGGGTGTATAATCTGGGAATTCTGGCTGCTGAAATGATGGATTTGGATTATTTTGGTGCTCAGTGTGACTTCTTGTTATCCCTCCCCGTTTCCAAGGCTGTGCTGGGCTCTTTGCCTTCCCAGGGAGAAAATTTGGGAATGGCTGTTTAACCTGGGAATTTTGGCTGCTGGAATGATGGATTTGGATTATTTTGGTTCCTAGTCTGACATTTTGCTGTCCCTCCCCATCTCCAAGGCTGTGCTGGGCTCTCTGCATCCCTGGGGAGAGGATTTGGGATATTCCTGGAATTCTGCACCTCTCTGAGCCCTGGCCTGTTCCCTGCCCTCCCCTCAGCCCAGCTGCTGCAGGTGATTATTGGCAAAAAATGAGGATTTTTGGGAAGCTCCAGCTCAGGCTGTGACCTCTCCCTGCAGCTCCTGGCAGATGCTGAGGGGTGGATTT